GGGAGACTCGGGTGCTGCAGATCGTAGCAAGGAAAGACGCTCACCACTAAGTCTCCGTAGATGATCAGCTACGCACCCGCATGACCACTGGTAGTACATGTCTCAGTACCTGCACATCAGTGCAGAAATATAGCGTGAGTACGGAAAACAATGCGTACCCAGTAAGTATCTAGTCTAACCTCGAAGAAGTAGTGACAAGGGGTCGACTTGACACTTACTAGAGGTCAAATAACAATATAAATACATAAAGTAGACATGGTGAGTGTACAACAAATAGCAGCAAAGCAAATAAAGTAACTACAGTAAGTCCACACATGAGTTTGTATCAAGTTACTAAATACGTCATAATCGTCCTTGAAGGCGCTAACTCAATAATTAACAAACCAAATCCAGTTCCAATTATTAAGCACGAAGCTGCCGAGGCGAACAACCCGATCCCATAGGAATAGTGGTACTCAATACAGCCGAGGAGAACGGTCCGATCCCCTAAGAATAGTATTACCAACCTGTCGAGGCGAACGACCCGATTCCAAAAGAGTAGTGTTACAATCATGCCGAGGCGAACGGCCCGATCTTATAAGTGTAGAGAGGTACCTGCTCGTGGAAGCACTTGCGAGATGAGAAGACACGAATTTATAGTTTATCAAGTATTTCCCAATTTTTCTAATGTAAGAGGCTAAGTCGTTATCTTCAATTTAAGCCCTCAGTCTCAGTACTAATCAAGACAATGAATACACATGATCGGGATAAACAGTACAAATAAAGGCATGATGTAAATCTAAGTCTACCCTGACATATCATAAAATATAGCTACGTACGAACTCTCGTCACCTCGTGTGTACGTAACTCCCATAAAAAGTAGCACATAACAATAATACACCTAAGGGGATAAGTTTCCTCTTACAAGGTTAAGCAAGAGACTTACCTCGGTCTCAAGTCCTCAATCTGACTTTTCAACCTCACTAGAACTCCTCAAGCGACGCTGAGGAATCCGAATTTAACCAAAAGTCATATAAACTAATAAATATATACTCAAAAGTTTATAATTTAGTTATTAGAATAATTACCCAACCCAATTTGGAAGGTTCTTAAAATTTACCCCCAGGCCCAAATGCCCGGATTCTGAAAACTTTCGAATATAAATGTTACCCATGACCTCACGAACTCAAATATATAATTTATGCTCATTTACATAATAGGTTTTGTGGCCAAATCTTATTTTTACCAAACCCTAGGTTCTAGCAAAATCTCACAATTTTTCCCTTAATTTCATGTTAAATCTACCCATATCCGTGTTTTTAACTAAAGAATTGATAGAGTTCACTTACCTCTTGATGTTGATGAAAATCCCTTATAAAATGCTCTCAAAATTGCCCAAGACCAAGTGAGAAATGAGAGAAAAGAGACCAAGTCCCGCATTAAAAATCCATTTAGCCAGTGATTCCTTCTTCGCGATCGCGGAAGAAGGCTCGTGATCGTGAAGGCATAACTGGACCAGGCAGTGAAGCTCTTCTTCGCAAACGCGAGCCACGCGATTGCAAAGGCTTGTCCAGCCTGAGATTCACGAATGCGAAGAGCNAAGTCCCCAAATTCTTCTACGCGAACGTGACTCCACCTCCGCGTTCGCGAAGAAGGAAACTAGAACCACCATTTTCAGTTTTCTAGACTTAGCTCCGGGTGGTACGAAATCCACCCGAGCCACCCGGGACCCCGACCAATCGTACCAAAAAGTCCATAAATATAATACGGACTCGCTCAAACCCTCAAAACACGTAAAATAATATCCAAAATAAGAATTGTACCCCAAAACCAACTTGAATCAACTTATGAACTTCAAACTTTTCAATTAGCTCCAAACGCGTCGAATCATACTTAAACTACTCGGAATGACACCAAATTTTGCGTACAAGTCATAAATCACCACGTATGGCTATTCCTAGGCTCGAAATCCCAAACGGACCTCGATAACACCAAAGTCTACTCCAAACCAAATTTAAAGAACTAGAAAACCTTCAATGAACCAACTTTCCACATTAAGCACTAAAATACTCTCGGGTTACCCGAAACCCGATCCGAACACACGCCCAAGTCCGAAATCATCATACGAACCTATTGGAACCTTCAAATCCCGGTTCCGAGGTCGTTTACTCAAAATATTGAGTCAAGTGAAACTTGGCCACCTTAGGCTCCTATTAAGGAACTAAGTGCTCTGATTTCAACCTGAACCCTTCCAAACCTAAATTAACCATCCACGCAAGTCATAAAACAGTAAGAGCACATACAGGAAGCCTTAATTAGGAAAACGGCGATCTAGTAAGTAAAACGACCAATCGGATCGTTACAAAAATATTTAACTTCAATATATGAAATGTCAATTAAATAGTAAAAACTTATTTAATGAGTATTTTGGTGAAATAATAGTTTCACTCACAAATCTTTAACTTTCTTTTAAGAGAAATTCATATCAAACATAATTATGCACATTTTCCTTTTTGAAATTTCAAATTCAAATATTGGTTTTTTTGCAACTTCAATCAAATCCCATTCTATGCCAAATTTTTTGCGTTTTCTAGTCAAAGTTAACCAATTTCATCTTGGAAAAAGAATGTGTTCTAATATAGTTTGTGGACTACGTACTTTGTTGGAACTACGAAAGAGAGTTATTAGAAGAAGACGAAGACAAGAAAACTTGAAATGCTGCCTCATTTAAGGATGATAACACCAACTTTTCAATGATTTACACCCACGCATCATGGATTTTCACGAGGGCTTGAAAATATGAAGAAACACGTGCAAGCTCTTTTCACATATAATTCCATAATAGGTTTATATCTAATTTAAAAGAATAACTTTCACGTTACCATGATACTCATATACATAATAACGAACAAATTAACTTCATTGGCTTTTTGACTGAGTTGTCGCATGTTCCAACAAATTAAGCTCATTCTAGGTTTTAACTTATTTTCCTTAATTAATATTTTTCAATACCTTTGATACCTTATTTTCAGTACGGACGCAGTATCTTCTCTAACCAAGTTAAAAGGTTTGTCCGTGTAGAAATACTATTCAACGACTCGCATTTTTTCGTATTTCTTGGGGACAAATGCAAAGCTGAGTAGAAAGTACAGAAAGCAAGAACGGGAAAAATAAAATGGAACAACACACGAAAAAGCATCTTTTAAAAGGAGAGAATATACCACGTTACTTACATAAGCGTACACCTCTGCAGGGAGAGAAAAGAATTGTCTAAGAGATCAACAGCCGAACTATTAATTTGGTTTACTATTTAAGTAAAGAGTAGGTTTTCTTGTTTAAGTAAGAATATTTTAAAAACAACTTCGTTGGGTATTTATTGAATAATAATCTGTTTTGATGCAACTCCATTTTAAAGTGTTGCTTGCAAGATTCAAAGCTAAAAATTTGTCGGAGTGTGCGAACACAAAATCTCACGTTGATAGCTAACAAAAAAACAAGAAAAGTGAAAAGAAGTTGAAAACCACTAGCACGTATAATTAGTCCATAAACCCCTCAGTTCTCTTTAACTTCGTATATACATAATAAATATATATGGTGACCTATAACTGAGTTTCCTTCATCTTCAAATCATGTTCTCATGTCGAGAGAGAGCGAAAGGGTTCCTAAGAAGTGACAAAAGAGAAGGTAGATTAAAAAAGGAGGTCTCCAACAACCAACTCACCTGATGTTTGTTGGTTAGAAGTGAAAGTTATGGTTTCAGTGTCACTTAAACATTTACTTCAAACAGAAGGAACCCTTGTTGACAAAACGCGAGAGTGGAAGATGACACATTTGTTTCAATACGAGAGTGTAGTCCATCCGTTTCAATTTAGATAACACATTTGGCTTATCGAGAAATTGTAGTATGAGTTTTGATCAATATTTTAAAATATTTTTTTTATCATATTGACATGAGAAAAATAACAACTTATAGTACTTTTCGTATTGTTTGTGAATATGTAAATTTTAATTTTGAAATATTGAGGTGAATTAATCCAATTTAGTTTCAAAGTTTAGTGAAATTGACTCTCGATAGGCGAAATGTGTCATCTTAATTGAAATAGAGGGAGTAATTTTTAGACCAAACTATAGCTAGCTGAATACTACCAATTTAATGTGTGAGTTTGATTCTAACTATTTCCTTTCTCCTATGATCCCTACTTAATAGAAATTCTTTTTTAACCATTTTTATATGAATTTAAACTACCACTTCCTATAAAATCCAATGAAGCCAAACAAATCGGTAACTCTATTGGATTGTGATGTACTCAATTTATTATGCATACTGGTGATCTATTAAATTTAATTACTAGCGTTAACTTTCCGCAATATTTTCCTTTAATAAGAAAAAAATGATAGGGGGTCTCATAAATACCGTCATTGCATGCACCTCCAAATGTTACCAGCTTTAGGTACTATGAATTCTTTGGTGAAAAGGGATCAAAGGCGCAGTCAATTCTGCCCAAGAGTCTCAGCAAAAGAGTGTGCCCCCTCTATCACCATATGAAGAAACCTTCACCACTAGCTCTTAATTAATGTCTCCCCAGTTTTATTAGGCTCTGCTATGCAGATCTCTGATTTATAAGGGGATCAAATTTAACTTCCTGGTTGAAATACTTTTTCATATTTTCTTATTTCACTCTACGTGGCGTTCTTTACTGTCTGAAAAATCCATAAGTTTCTCTTTGATCACATTATTCTTAAATAGTTTTGTTAAGTACATATATTATTAACTATTTTGATTTATATTAATTTTTATCTAGTCTTTAATTAAATATGTAGATTCTATTTCAAACATTTGAAAATTTTATGTTTGAATCATACAAAGTTAAACATTCTTGTACTCCGAATCTCACCATATATATAAACTAGGAGTAGAAAAGGAGTAATAGAGTTAGCATATTGGAATATATTTATTTCATGCGTGCAGTTAAAGGGAATTAACCATCAAGAAGTTATTTGGCAAAAAACAATCAAGCAAATGGAAGGCTTACAAAAACTCATGCTTACTTAATTATCATCTGATTTGTACATGAAGTTTCACTGATTCTATCAACTTATTTAGCATAGAGCCAAACACTCTTGGCTGTCAAAAAAGAAACGGAAAAAGTAGAAGAAAAAAACACTAGAAAATCAAAACTCACTAGGATTAGAATTTAAACTTGTCTCATAATTTAACACATGACATCCTTGAGAAGCTTGTATCTTCTCCGAGGTGAAGGAGTGCCACTAGGATTCTTTGCCCTTTCAGCACCACTTTCTTCCCTATCATTCTGCTTGATTTTGTCACCTGAATATTCCGATTTGATCCCTGAATCACTAATTCCTGCAATTGATTTCCTTGAACCACCATGCCTCGAGCCTTTTTCCTCACTTTGACACCAATCACACACTTGTATTGGCTCCGATGATTCGTTGTAGTAGTTGCTACAATACCTAACATATACAAATTTGGGATAAGTTGTGCAAAAACTATTCCTTCCGACTTGAACTATATATGTTTACGTATGGAAATTTTTTTAAAATATATACATATAATGAGATTATACATAAGTTGACTGGCTCTATATCCGCCTCTAGTTCATTAAAAAACTGTAGCCACATAGAGACATGGTCTATTATTGTATTGTAAGTGTAAAATAAATGAGAGTTAACGTACTCTTTCTTCTTCTTTTTTCTAAAGAAGTAATCATGTTATGATGATGAATATTTCCGGTGATAGTGGCGGTGGACGAGGGTCATGTTTGGCTGGCCACAACCAAGAAAGAAAACGAAAATTAAACAAAAGTAAAATATATATTCAGTCAAAGACTATAAAGGCGTGGCAGTCATGAGGGACCAAACCAAGCTGCGGACCATGTTTCTCTACAAAGTTGATCCCAAGATTAAGACTTGATCCACAAAGCAAGAAATTTAATGATGGCATTAAAAGTACTCTCTTGTAATTTTCAAAAGAAAGAAAAAAAGTTACGAGATTAAACTCTCGAATAAAACTAAGAACTAACCTAATAGAGAAGATTAGACCAATCAAGAAAGAAAATCCGACCGTTCGACCAAAACTATAATAGGAGTACGTTATTCTTCATAAAGTTGGCACATGAATCTGGCCTCTCAAAGGGGGAAAAAATGAGAGTCGATCTGAGCTTATAATAAGCCTACGAACACTAGTCTAAAGGCTGAACTAATTAATCGAGGAAGAGAAGAAAGTGAGTCTTTGAACCGAACCAGTGAAGTTCTTCTTCCTATGGTTAGTACGAGAATCCCTCTTAAAAGAATAGATTAATTCAATCGTCGAACTTAGAGTTAAATAACTTATCAGCAATGATCTGTCTCGTTTAGTTGCTCTCTTTCTTAAGATCAAGAGTCGTATAAGCTACTATATATATAACTGAGAAGGTTGAAGGACATACGAGTGCTGAAAACGGTGGTGGCACTTGGAGCAGCGGAAGAGCTTGTCAGGGAAGCCTACATCACCACACATGGAGCAAACTGTTTGAAGATCCACCATTTTCTTTTTCTTCAAATTCTTCAATCTATCTGATTTAAAATCTAAAGGAAGGAAACGAAAACTAAAACCAATTTAACCAGAGAGAAAGGCAACTGAAGACACCCTTGAGGCGGCGTTTGCGTCTCTCTTGGTTATTTATATACTAAAGAGAGAGAGAGCCAGACATGGTTTTTGTATATTTTATGTACACGAACACATTATTAAAAAAATAAACCAAAGATGCATATATTAATGTGAATGTGATATGTTATTTGTATACAGGTAGACCACAGGTTGCTTGCAGTCGTTTTCTGTTAACGGACAGCGGGACAGATGATGCGAACCTTAAAACTCAATATATTAAAATGACAGATATGCCCCTTGGTCCGATGATAGAGATAGAGATAGAAATAGAGAGGAGAGTGAAAAAATATATATTCGCACCCAGTTTTTATACCAAACACACATTATACGTGCGTGTTCTTTGACCACGTTTTTTTAAATATTTTATAAATATTTTGAATTATGAATTATTATGACTTATAATACTTTTTATGTAATTTTCGAAAATGTAAATTTCATTTTCAAAAACTTGAAGAATCTATGTTTAAATTCACGGGCAAAGTTAGATACTTTGACCCTCGTACTCCCAATCATGCCAATCTTTTTTAAACGGAGGGAGTAGGTTTTAGAGGTATATAACATATATTGAACATTCTTTGTCTGGAAAATTTTTTCTCTTCTTTCAAATTTGAACACCCTTGTTGATTCCCCAAGTACACGCAAGTCTACGTGGCCGTCAAGTAATAAAGTGACTCGAAAGTTCGATGTCGAACCCACATAGACTTAGAATAATTGTTAACTAAGCAAACTAAAATCAATTTTAATGTCCAAGATAATCAAGAGTGTTATTTTTCTATTAATCTACTATTGCAAAAATTAAACAAGTAACGACTAATTTATCAAGAATGCAAATGGGTATGGTGAGATTTTAATCAGAGGAGATGAAGATTCCAGGGTTGTGGTTGGTTTATCAATCCTATTAAGTTCAATAATCACACTCGTTAATCCAGATTATCTATGGTTGCAAATCGACCGGATCGTTTATATGAATAGCATGTTCCCACAATACTATTCGCCTATCCACAATATATCAATCATATATTCCTATGGTATTGAGTCTATCGTGAACGAATATAATACGGTATTCAACTAAGCAAGAATGTTAGGTATATTCCTATCCTAACCATGAAATTATTCCCCGAGCCACGGGTTCAGAAACAAGCTCTCTTTAATTCTAATATAATCTAAACATGGCTTTCCCAAGCATAGTATAGATAGTAGGGTGAAATGGTAGCTACAACAATTCACAAGTTAAAACTAAAAACTAGAATTAAAGAAACAACTACAAGATGATAATCCGAACTAACGAAGATGTAATTAGTAAATATTAATAATCATGTCAACCACAACCCTAGAAACTAGAGTGCTTAGCCACTCATGTTCGTAGTAATAATTTTTCAAGTATTTTGCATAAACAAATTATATTACAAAGAAAAGAAGAAGGAATTAAGAACTCAATAATTTTCTCCTCCAAAAGTTGTTCCACGTGATGTTCTTGCCTCCAATAATGTCCCCTTCTCAAAAATAGGTTTAGAACCCTTTTTATACATGTTGGGGACGTGTAGGTTGAAATCCCCAAATCCCAGCCGAATTAGGACAAAATTCGCCCTTTGGCGTCTCACTTGGCGCCTGGCGCCAACCTGGACAGCAAACTTTTTGGTCTTCTGCCAATGGCATTTTGGTTGGTGCCTAGCGCCAAATTGGACAATGAATATTTTATCATGCTATCAACGGCATTTTGATTGGTGTCGAGCACCAACCTGGGCACCAACTTATACTTCCTCCAAATTCATCCTTTTTTTTACGTCAATTTGCATGCAAACTCCCCAAATCACTTCCAATTGATTCCTATACATAAAATACCATTATTAAGCTCGAGTCACAAATATTTGCACCAAAGTTAACAAGATCAATAATGCAAGGCAAATTGAATGCAAAAATATAGAATTTTAGCCAAACATCACCACCCCACACTTAAACTCTTGCTCGTCCTCGAGCAACTAACAATTCACACTATTCTTGAGCACTTTATATTTACCACATTTGAAGCACACTACACCAATGACCACGGTTGATAGCAATAATTAAACTGTAGCATATGCAATCACTTACACTTCCCTTAACTTATGTCATTCTTCAAAAATATTCACAACAAAGACGATATGCTTATAACAATCCTAGCCTCTAAAACCGACTCAGTGTCACAATATGGCTTGAATACCTAACATCCTAGAGAAGTCTAATAATGTTACCTATCCTTCATGAAACCATGTGCCCTCACAACAGGAACAAAAGAGTAAGTTGAATCCACACATTCAAATCAAATGCTCAAATATATTTTAAGTACTCATATATATCAAAGAAAATCGCTCACTCTCACAAAAGAAGTCACATGCATGCAATTGGTACCATAGGCTTGCCCTTAATGTAAATCCCTACTAATATAGGCTCGTTCAATCTAAAATCAATTAGGACTTTTTCATGGTTGTAATGTGGGCTAAGGGACGGGTAGGATATATTTAAGAATAGTGGCTAATCCCCCTAAGTACTTTAACACATCACATAATTAACTTTAAGCGCATATTCTTCAATCCCAACTTCACTTTCACAAACAACATCACCCAAAAGAGTATCCCTTTTTCTTTAAGCAATGCTTTAATTCATACCCACTAGCAAGAACAAGATGTCAATTTATTCATCTACATATTTTTCCTTCTTTTTTCAGATTATTTTTCTTTACAATTTTCGCTAGTGGTATATTCTTTTACAAAACAAGTGCATCTTTCTTCGTTTCATTGGTTGCACTCGAAAGCTACCCAAATTCCCTCCTTACTTCTTTTAGTGCCCATATCACAATTAAAGTGTTTTAAGAGGTAAAAGGATCAAAACAACGTCAATTAAAAATAAAAAGGGTATAGGCTTGTAATATGGGTGCCAAATAAAAGTCTATAGGCTCAAAATGGTTTACTAGGGATACATTTTATTTGTGATAAGCATTAAACTCAAAAAGAACAAAGAAAGCCTAAAATCATTTTTCAAACCTAGCATCACCTAAAATTTCGCTTCAACTCACATACCGGGCAAGTTCTAGACACAAATACAATGACATGGACTACACAAAAATCTCACTTCACACATGGCACATGACTCACTAAGGACGGTCTCATTCCGGCTCTCAAACTATTGCAAGTATTAATGGAGCCACAAGATATTAAGCATTAAGCACAAAGTGAACACAAGTCAAGAATACGAGACATAGGCATCACGAGACATCCAATCCAATTTATAACGGCATCATGACCAATTTTAAAATATAGGGAAGATACTACAAATGCCAAAGCCTAAATATGCTACTATCAAATAAGTCAAGGACGCCTAGGACTCTCATCTTTCTTCATTCATTTTTTCCTAAATCTTACACTAAAAAAAACTACTATCCGATTCAAACTACATCCCATGGAAAAGAACCGAGGCACAAAAAAAAACCACGAGGGATTATTACTACCTAAAGAAAATTAAAGGACATATTTTTGGATTTTTGTTTAGACTTTAATCCCTCAAGAAAAGTTTCTAGGAGATCCATCGTCAGGAAAAGTCCAATTTTTTTGACTTTCTTTTTGATTTTTCTTTATTTAAAAAAAATAATAAGCTACTAAAATACTACACAATTACGAAAATAAAAAAATAAGAAGTTAGCATTTTTACTAACATACTACTACTAATTATCTAGAGGAATTCTCCCACCCCACACTTAAAAAGAGTGAAGTGTCCCCAATGCACAAATAAAACAAAACAATCATGAGGATGGACAAGAAACTCCCTTAAAGGCCAAAGGCCGAAGCAATCACGGCTCACGAGGTATTCAGACTTCCCCCAAGCATGGTCCTTTATGCGGACACCCCACACTTAGTTCTCACCATCTAACTCGCTTTTGCACTCTTCCAATGGCTTTGCTTCCTATACTTATAATCCTACAAAATAAAAACAGACACTACAAAAATAATATAACAAAAATAAAAATAAAAAAAAGCAGTAAAGTTGGGTTGCCTCCCAACAAGCGCCTGATTTAACGCCACGGAACGACGCAGAATCTTGCCTAATCATTGGCTAGTAACACCTTCGACTTCTGACGATCAAAGTCACCTCTATAATAGTTCTTTACTCTTTGTCCATTCACTAAGAACGTTCTCTCGCCACCTACGATGCGCAGCTCAATTGCACCATGTGGAGTGACTCTTACTACCTCAAACGGGATCGGCCATCTCGATTTGAGCTTCCCGGAAAGAGTCTCAACCTCGAATTGAATAAGAGAACCAATTGGCCCGGTTCGAATTCGCAATTGTGAATTTGATTATCATGCCAGCGCTTAGTCTTTTCTTTATATAACTTGGCATTCTCATACACGTGCAAGAGAAACTCATCAAGCTCGTTCAATTGCATCAACCATTTTTGACCCGCTAATTCTGCATCAAAGTTCAGCTTCTTTATCGCCCAATAGGCCTTGTGCTCAAGTTCCACCGGTAAATGGCATGCCTTCCCATAAACCATCTTGTAAGGTGAGGATCCGATTGGAGTTTTGTAGGCGGTCCGGTATGCCCATAGAGCGTCATCAAGTTTTGCAGCCCAATATTTCCTAATTGCACTAACCGTCTTCTCCAGAATTTGCTATATCTCTCTATTTGACACTTCAACTTGTCCACTAGTCTGAGGATGGTAGGCGGCCATAACCTTATGTTTGACCCCGTATTTCGCTAAGACATTGTCCAATAGCTTGTTACAGAAATGGGTGCCCCCATCACTTATCATCACCCTTGGAGTGCCAAACCTTGTAACGATATGCTTTTTCACAAAGTTAATCACAACCTTGGAATCGTTGGTAGGAAAACAATGGCCTCCACCCGCTTTGACACATAGTCAACGGCCACCAAAATGTACTTGCACCCATTGGACGGGGGAAACAGACCCATAAAATCAATTCCCTACACATCGAAGATTTCAACCTCCATAATACCATGCAATGGCATCTCATGACTTTTCGTAATCGTTCCCGTTCTCAGGCATCAATCACACTTCCTCACGAAC